ATCGAAGTACTTATATCATATCTATGTTCAACCAAACTTTAAACGCGTCTTAACCAACCGTCGGCTTCTCCCTCTTCGGTCAAGGACCGAAAAGTGTTATGTACTCCATCTGTCGAGAATATTGACGGTGTTTCCAATAACCAGGCAATCAGGCCATAAGGCTGTAACAGACAAAGCGCGCTCAGGGAATTTATGTTATATTACTGCGAAGTGTAAGAAGCATCTTCTAAGAAAATAGTACCCCCACCAATACCTTTCTTCGGTGCTCATTGTTATTATGAGACTTGTGCAATAGATTTTTTGTACTCATGAGTTCCGTTGTGTGCCGACCATCATTGAAAACTATAAGAGCGATAGCTTTCGGCTTCACCCAGTCTGAGGTCTGGCTCGGATGACCCGATCGTGACAATCGCAGAGGTGCTCTCTTTACTCCCTAGCCGAACAATCGGGAACGTAGGGGTAAACACAGGAGCGAGGCAACCCAACTTGCAAATCGCTTAAGTCAATATGGTGCATATTGTGGCGTAATACACGAACAAGGAATGAAGTCGTACAAGTATAATCATATGCAAGAGGAAAAGCTTCATGAAGGAAGCCCCCAAATGAATTGGGTATTTGAATTTATGTGTCACAAACAAAGTTTGGACAAGAAAAATTTTTACAGGCAACATTTTTCCAAAAAAGTATAATGCTTGGTCGAACCAAACACAATTTAGAAGTTAAAGCTTTGAGCATGAAAGCGACTTAGCTGGTTAATGTGTTCGGTATTGATGACGCGGTCCGAGCTTGATACGGGACAAGGTTCCATCCCCCAAGCCGGTCCCGAGGTGGCGGAGCGGAGAGCTTGACACGCCAAAGTGGTGACATAGCACGGTCAATACAGACCAGCAGAGTGACGCCGAAGTCCCCGGATCATTTTCATATGCACAAAAAATGGTACAAACCGGAGATAAGAGTAATAATGATAAAAAAATCGTTGCATAATAAATAATTTATGCAAAGTGAGTAATAAAAAAAATATGGCCTGGCGCCGAAGTCAATGTCGATGCAGGGCGCCGGTGTGATGCGGTAAAGGCGTGGCAAAGCCTGAATTCACAGGTTGGTCCGAGCCCCGGATGCGGCGTTCGCTGGACTATGTACGGAAACTGACCGAACCATCATGCAATGGTCGTTAATGCGGCCACCATTTGATAGACCTATGTACATATGATGGATAAACCAGAGTAATAATTCCTTCGGAAAAATGAACCCAAACAAGCAAAAAATATTGGGATCAATAGCACCTGGTTTATTTGTTGTAGCAATCCGAAGAAAGGTGATTCCCGAAATTGGGACTCGATCCGCGCACCCATTGCTTGATGGGCTATAAAACGACGGCATGGCAATGCTGCCAAAGGTTGGCTCGCCGAGGCAAAGCCCTCGGTCCAGCTAACATGATGGAGCTGGTCGGCTAGTGACGCCGAAGTGTCCGGAGTAGGTTGATGAAGAGATGGTGAAGCCCCCGGTCCAGCCGAGATGTCGAAGTAGGTCGGCGTGATGGACACCAGCTTGAAGAAGCAATAGTGCGGCCCTGCAGATGCAGGTCGTGACATGGTTGATGCCGGCTTGATGAAGCGACCGTGCGGCGATGCCGGTACGCCCGCTCCGTGTAACCCATGGGGCGGCAGTGTTGGTGATGATTTATCCTTCGCGATGCTGGATGATGATCCGAAGAAGTTGAGCTCGGCTCAACAAAGTGACGACGTGTCTAGCGCAGGTCGGCAGCCGTGGAGCAATATTGCCGGACTGGTTTGACACCAGCATGATGTTGAAGATCATGTTCAAAAGATTTTAAAGTTAGTGGGATGTGTTCGGGAACAAAAAACAATACCCCATACAAAACTTCCTTCAAAAAGGATGTCCGAAATCCCGTTCATAAAAAGGACGAACTCGGGTCGGATTTGTTTTCGCGCGGAAAACAGATCCAAAAAGCGATGCACTAATCGGAAGGTTTTTGGAGTTTGGACGGTCGGATCGAGATGAAATTTTGAGGGGTGGTAGATATAGGAATTCCGCAGTCGATCAACGGTTGGATCTTCCAAAGGAGGTCCGAGCTAGAAGCTGGACACCACGCCCTAAACTCATCCAGATTTCCATCCAGATTTGACAGGGCTCCGGTATATCGTAGATTGTCGGAGATTCCTCCATCGGAACTCGACGAAATTTAGCGTGGTTGTTTGTAGACGTAATTCCGCACTATTCCACCGAAGCAATCGTCAAACCGACGCTCGAGGAGGCGGTGACGGCGGATACAAGTTCGATGTCCAGAAAAACAGCACGGTCGCCCGAGGGCAATGTTGACGTTGAGCCCCCGGGCTCTCTGGATGATTCCTCCATGATCTTGATAGAGATCGGAGCTGATGTTGATGAAGGCCCTCATCCGAACATGACGGTCGGAGGTAGGGCGCAGTCCTTGGTCGAAACAAGGTGACCAGTCGAGCTGGTGACGAAGATGCCGAAGTCGCAGTTGATCTGCAGGCGAGCCATCGACCTTTTGCCGAACACATAGCGGAACTCTCAATGAAAGCACCAATGTCGGTGTCAAAACCGGCGGATCTCGGGTAGGGGGTCCCGAACTGTGCATCTAGGCGAATGGTAACAGGAGACAAGGGACACGATGTTTTTACCCAGGTTCGGGCCCTCTCGATGGAGGTAAAACCCTACTCCTGCTTGATTAATATTGATGATATGGGTGGTACAAGAGTAGATCTACCACGAGATCAGAGAGGCTAAACCCTAGAAGCTAGCCTATGGTATGATTGTTCTTCCTCATCTATCGACTAGTCTGGCCTCAGTTTATATAATGCACGAGAGGCCTAGGATAACAAGAGTCCTAGCCGAATACGCTGGTGGGGAGGAGTCCTTGTCTTGATCGCCAAGTCTTGTGGAATCTTCCTTGTATGCGGCAGCTATCCGGACTGGCCCATGAGTATACGGCCATGGGGTCCTCGGCCTAATCTAACAGATCGGGAGATGACGTGGTGAGTACCCCCTAGTCCAAGACACCATCACTCCCTCTCTAAATCTTTCTCTCTCTTTCTGATCCGGGTGTCTTTCAACCTATCTCATGGAGCCCAACAATCTCCTTTCTTTGCGTCATGCAGCCCCCAATTGAATCTAGTTTAATTAATCAGAACTTTCTTTCCTGCACAAAGCGTGCATGTCTTGTGGATTACCGTTTGTTTAGGTTTATGTAAAAAGGCAAGGTGGGATTATTTCTTTTGTAAACAAACCTCTTTCTCCCATAATTATGAGCTAGCATAGTTGGCGGAGTTGTTTGGTTGTTACAGGCTTATCGATCGTGAGATCGACCCACCATGCAAGGGATAGTTTTTATTTTTATTTTAGAAAAGAAAGCACACCTTCATTCTCACGGCCCACAAGGATAAATCCTGTCAGAAGGCCACTTGCTTGGCACCTGGCCCAGCTGACGGAACAATGTATGAAGTCGTGGGTTGACAGATGAAATTTCGACGTACGAAGGGCGAGTGGATAAACATAGGAAAATGATCCGTGTGTTGCAATGGGATAAAAATTCATCGCACTCCCGCACTCCAAATTCTATCACTATGGCTTTCTCTAACAATAATAATAAGTATTGTCAGATATCCATAACCTGAAGAAGAATTATTCTTCCAAGCCGACCATCTTTGTAGAATTGTTTCTTTTCTTTTTGCGGGAAAATGTAGCATTGCTAGACTTGTGGGTGGTGCTTTGCTAATGAGTAAACACCAAAATGAGGGATAATCGGCTATAGTCCAATTCAATGTACATAATC